CTACACACAAAGAAAGGATGAAACATTCTTGCCTCCAACCCATATCAGAAAGTCTCTCTAAGTAACCAAAACAAATGAAACCAAACGATCACTGGTATTCTCCAAGGCTCTATCCTTGATCCTACACTGTTTCTGATCTTTATCGATGATCTTCCTGATGTCATCAGTTCTCAAGTAGGAATCTATGCAGACAACACTGCCATTTACTCCTGTCTCAATAGTAAATCCGGCAATGTTGACAAAGTTAACCTGGCTGTTTGTCTTCAAAAGGACTTTTAATCAGTGGTTGAGTGGAGCAGGAAATGGCTTGTAAATATGAATGCCTCCAAAATGAAACTGCTCTCATTTAACCACCAGAGAGAAACTTCCCTGACCCTATCAACATGACTGATGCTCGAGTTCACAAGTGTGCCTTACTAAACCTTCTTGGCCTCACATTTTCCACTGACCTGAGGTGGAACAACTATATTGAATCAGTTGCTGCATCTACTGCAAGGAAAATTGGTTCTGTGTTGTTCCAGAATGTTTTTCTTGTCTGAGTCCATCCTACACATCTACAAATCTATCTTTTGTACATGCATGGAATATTGTTGCTGTATATGTTCTGGCGATCATGCTGTTCATTTTGACAAAATCCAAAGATGGATCTGCAATGTGATCGGTCCTGACTTGGCACTTCAACTCCAGTCACTTTCTCACAGACGTGATGTGGCTTCCCTCTGTCTCTTCTACAAATATTTTCATGGCAACTGCTCTGATGAGCTTTTTTTTCCTGGTGACCTGACTGCATGAATCATGACTGCATGAAGGGAAGAATTACTCAGACTGCTGCTTGGAAAGTTGGTTCACTGTGCTAGTCAATTTTTCTTGTTGAAAAATGAGACATTTTTATCCTTGGCCCATATGCATATTGGTACCTCACATTAAAATGACCATGTTTCTCTCATATCCTATGCCCATGGATTTAAGTTAAATACAAGTTGAAAGTGTAATAATTTAATCTTGAGGATTTCAACTCTGTGCTAACATCTCCCTATTGCACAAAGGTTGGGGTTCAGAATACTTTCATGCTTGTCGTTGGTATTGGGTAATTTTTTGGCACATGAAAAATGATATGAACAAGTAACGAAAATTTGAAAAAAAGTAGACATTGGAGCAAGTTCTTTGTGCCATATCCCTTCAGGTTGTTGACAATCATGGCCCTGCACTTTTCCTTCCTTTGTAGATCTTAATGACATTTTTTTTTGCCATCTCTCCAAACCATGCTCCACCATTCATTCAATTAAGCTCACAAAGTAGCTTGTGCATTGCTTTCCTTTTAATCTGCCTTGTGCGTATCAAATTTTCTAAGCCTTCTTTCCTCAATGTGTGCCTCAGAAATTTCAACTTTTTTTTTTTTTTTTTTCCCTGATGTCGTTTTTGTTGGTAATATCTCTAGAACTTTGTTGTTGCTCATGTTTGGTCCATGGTATTCTCAGCATCCTTGGTTCAAGTCTCTTTTTCATCTGTGAGAAAATTGTCTAGCAATCACTGCCATATCGGAGGACTGATGCTACATAACAGTTTAGTACTATTTTCTTTGTTTCTAACGATACATAATCTTAATCGTAACATTTCCATGTAACTATATTTTTTGTTCAAGGGACTGTACTCTCAGTATATATATATATAATAGAAAAAAAGTTACTTCCCTTAATTAAAAAACCATTTTAAAATTTTGGTCAGCTAAAAAAAAAATAATTTTATGATTAAAAAATGTAATAATTTTTTCAAAAGTAAGTTTGTGTTTATTTTTGAGAAATCCTGGTTGCGTAGCGGCTGGAACAGTTTGCGTTCACTTCCCGTTGGTGAAAATGAATGAATCTTCTAAAAAAAATCACAATGGCTGCAAACAGTAATTGTTTGAGAAATGTAGACAAAAATGATTGCCTCATGTGTCATCTGTGCTACGGAATTGCTTTGTCTATTGTTTACTAAGCTTAATGCTGCTACAAATCAACATTAGATCCCCAGTGAGGCTCAAATTCACAACAAAAGCTTCCTAATCTTCTCCGATATCCTAATATAGTTACAAAGTTTAGTCTGGCACAAGGTCAAGGTAACGCGGCTTCACTACACTAACGAATGTTTAAAAGATGAACCTGTCAATTCAACCATAACAGAAATCTTTATAAAGCGTAGTTTAGTCTGGTACAAGGCCACTATAAATAGAACATCCAGTAAAGATCGAACTCTGAACATTAGCTACTTAGTAAATTGCAATGTAAGCGTTCTGTAGACTAAATTTAATTTAGTTTTGTTACAAGGCATGACACGAGACACCTAGTGAGGATTGAATTCACTATTTAGTAGCAATATTATGACGCTAACTATCAATTTACGGTAGACGCCCATTTGGCAGTGTATTTTATTACTAAAATTTAATTCAGTTGGTTATGAGAAACATTCTATTTAGCCACTTGGGAGAAAGTTGCAGACGAGATATTTTGTCGATATGCCGTCACACAAAAATATCTCTGTCTCATTTACACTGCTACATTGTTATAGTCTGGCTGTGCTGGCCCATTTTAGGAAAACTAGGAAATTGCCATTTACTGGAAATAAACGACAATCTAAAGACAATTAAGGTGATTCCGCATACTCTGTAGTACGAACGAAGCTAAACGAGACCCCCCCCCGAACACAATATCATAAAAATAGATCAGAAAACTGGTTGTATTTCACGGTGTCTTGTAAACGTATAGGTCGACCGTAGGTTACGCGTGGGCGTATAAATAAATATGTCCACAACAGCAGAAATGTTAAAAGTGATTAAATGATCGTACATAAACTTGTATAATATTAGTTTTTTTTTCGCCCCTTTTGCACGGAAGGGGGCCCTGAGTTACACGTTTGAAAGATTCGTTGTTGATTGGTTGGTTGTTTCTGTTCAGCGCGATATCTACCTCTATAGGTTATTTTAATGCTGAATCTAAATATTTTGTACGCATTTTTATTTTATTTTGCAAAATAATGACGGTTTAGTGATACGCATTATTAATTAACCCATACCTGGGGGGAGAAGAGAAGGATTCATGCCTTTCTCAAAGGCATTTGCACGTAAGTGAATATAACGGACCCAACTGGAATTGGAACTCAGCTCTTCGATTAACAATTCTGAGTCATCCATTAGATTACCGGTAAATCCAAGCTTACAGCATCTGGTATTCCCAAGCAGTCACCCATCTAGGTACTCAACAGGCAGACGTTGCTTAACTTCAGTAATAGATTCATTGTGATATGCATAGTTGTTTGTAAATTTCATACATACATAAGATGAACTGTGGTTGCAATAATATGAGACAGTATTTTCTTAATATCTTTTCCAAGATTGGATGAATGGTTTGTTTTGGGGCTGAAATATTTGCATCACGTACCACCAGAACTTTTAATCAATATTCGAATCAAGGGAAAAACAATGTTTCAATTCTGAATGTTGATTTCTAAGGTAAGCAAACCTTCTACCCTCAAGAGAACAGTATGACGCAATCAGTAACGTTTCATGACAGTGTAGATCCAGAAATTTTTTCTATCGCAATGAACGGGTGATCTCTTAAGGAGGCCTCATTGCCTTGAACGCCTATTGGGACTTAAACTCACTCCAGACTTCAAGTGGAACTTGTATAAACGATCTATCGCTAAAGATGCTTTTAAAATGGTTTGTTCCCTGTGCCGCTCCCTGACTCCTCCTGCTATCCTCTACCTTTACAAGAGCCAAATCGGGCCGAAAATGAACTACTGTTGCTATATATGGACAGGTCAAGTTTTCACTTTCCAATCTTGACTGAGTTCAAAAGTGCTTACGCTGCCTTGTTGGTGATGAATTATTTTTCACCTTACGACCCCTTTCCCACAAACGAAACGACGGTATTTGTTACGACTCTCGCTATTTCCATGAAAAATGTTCTCACGCGCTACATTCCTTAGTTTCACCAGTTCAGACCTTCACAGCTAGGAGCCACCATGTTACGTACACTGTAGCGAACAACCCTTATTTACTTCGTATTTTTATAGTGAGAAGTAAGTTCCCACGAAACAAACCCCTTCAGTAACCCTCTATATCTCGTGGCTCTTGGGCTTGTATAGCGTGAATATTAATTAAACAAATCATTCTATTCACCTAACAGTCATAAAATCTATCCATCTACAGGGTGCAATGGGTAAATTGTCGCCATTTTATATTTTTTAATTTCGCGCATGCGCGTTGTTTATGATTTTGCCGACTGCACATTATGTTAGACTAAATTGGACACCGTCTGTGAGAAAAAGAGCAACATGACAATTCACTCCGCCAAAAATTTGGAAACGGCATGCTGTACAGCTTGACATTCGCGCCAGAAGATCCAATACGAACATTTCAGAGTGTTAGGGTGTCAATCTGAGGACAGTGCAGAGGAATCGGAAAGATTTGGATGATATATCCAGTCAACATCATGGAGTGATCACTTGTGATGGCGACGTTATGCCTCCAATCATCTTCCCACAGTTTGACTCAACACAGAGGTCTACATCAAGTGCTTTGAGGAGGTAATACAGCACTGGGTCAAGAAAGTGGCTGCTGGAAGACCCTATGTCTAGCAGCAGAACACTGCATCATGCTACTCAAGCAGGAGAATCCAGTCATGGCTGTCAGACAATTTCTGCGACCACATCACCCGTTATATCTGGTCACATAACTCCCCAGATTGCACCCCTTGATTATATGTATGGGGCGTAGTTGATCGAGAGACCAACGAAACTCCTTGTAGCACCATAGATGAATTGAAGGCAAAGATTATGGCAGCATTCACTAACTTAAACAAGGAGAACGCCCAGATGAGTTGAAGCCGTCTAGAGGCCATAGTTGAAGCCAATGGCGAGTTTATTGAACAAATCTACTCTTTAGATTTTTTTGTGTAATTTTGGTAAATATATCTGTTAAAATGAGATGTCAGTGTTATTTTCGTTTTTGCGTAATTTAGTCGACTATCTATCTATCTATCTATCTATCTATCTATCTATTATGGACCCTTCGATAGTAATGCCTTCGATTTTTTTCCCGCAGAAAATACCATGCATATCACTGTTGGATAGAGGAAGTTTTCAGTTACAAAACTTTTTTTTTATAGAAGTGGTGATTTTTTTTTCGAAAATATTCTTCACTGTTGCCACTGCTGAAACTGTGCTTACATTTACTGTTTGGTCCCCATAAGTGTTGGTAGGAATTCAATGGATACAAATTTTCTCGATTTCGATTCAACAATGCTGATTTTCGAGGTAGTCTTTTGACTGTTTTTTTTTTCGACCGAACCGTTAGTTCTCTCATCTAGTCATAGAAAAAGGTTGGAGATTCAAATACCCAGGTTGACAGAACCGGATATTTTACCCTTTAAAATATTGTGCAAATTAATTGAAACAAAACGAATAATTCCGTTATTATTTACTATTTTTTTCTAATTTTTCTAATGAAACATGACCCAGTGCACATGTTAGTACTTCGTATGTCCATTCCACGAAGTCGTTCCTTGCAGATTGACCACTGATTCTTGGTTGGATTTAAATCAGGATTGTTTCCGAACCAGTCGATAGTACTTTGATTTGCTCAATGGTAAGGTTTGCCAGTGTGTTCGTGCAGTGCTACAATTTTCGTACGCTTCCTTGGAGTAATGTCCAACGTAGACAATGGCCGTAGGATCGACAGTCGCGACAATAGTGTCTGGTCGTGATAAAAACCTAATGCAATCACGGATGATGCAATATTTTTTAAGGCCAAACAAATTTCATCATACACCCCGAAAACAGATTCATCTTACTGCACACCACTGGAAATGACCTAATCTGAGGTGAAATTAGAAATCGGTTACACCCTGTCACTCCAGTTGTTCTAAAACTGACCGTATGGTGAAAGAAAGACAATTAAAGCAGTTGTTTCAATTGATTTGCACAAGGCTGTATATTTATTGTTAAATTAAAATATCAAAAGTTTCCCCCTGAAAGTTTTCCGCTGCCTTAGCCGGGTATTGAACTCACACTCTTTGCGTCTATGTCACTGGATCTCACTAACGCCTTTATCCGCTGTGCCATGTGTCCTCAGAGGGAAAATTAACAGGAGATAACTGATAACTGACATCCATTAAACATGGCACGTGGAACTAGAACAGTCTATCCCAATGAGCGAAATAAAGGCTTCAGTTCGACATTCCAACCACCTGAAGAAGGCCGGAGTGTACAACGGACGAAACATTGTAATAAATATGGTGACAAAGATGAGGACAATAGTCCGAATAATGTAAATAGTGTACATAATACCTCATCTCAGAAATATAGACAGATATTAAGAATGTCTCACTCGGAGAGTTACTGGTTGTTTCTGAAGTTTAGGTCTATATTTTTTATGCTTAAAACAGATTAAACAAAAAAATTATCTTAAACATTTTAGAAGTTTTGTATGCAACACATTTTATAAACAAAACAGAAAAAAATATCTCGATTTTTAGACCTTTCAGTTATAAAAAAAGCAAAATGAAGCAATTGATAAAATTAACCTCTGGTAACCTTCTGTGTCATTTTGGAAGTCATCACCCGCTATCCTATCATATTACTCTACCCGTTACCGATTTGTATCAAGTGTAACTGTTGGACTACAATAGAGACGATAATAACTACAAACTAATTCTATCTCTAAGGGTCTTCAGTGACTTCCACCCTAATATTTGTTAGGTGAAGAAACATTTTAGACCTTCATAGAAATCAAGCCACTAAGACGCAAGGTGTTACTGAGTGCGAGAGAATATGAGAAAAAGAAAACATTATTGAGGTGAGAAAACAATAAAAAAACAGGAATGGAGAAGACAGAGGATAACGATTGACATTGCATTTCAATTTTGATGATCAAAGTTGACTGGAAAGCAAGAAGCCGGAAGAAAGTTCCACAAGCGAGAAGTGCAAATGAAGAAACTGCTAGCATAGAACTTACGGTTACATGTGATCATTTCAACTGCAAAATGAGTACTTGCCATCAATCCAGTACTGCGCTTAAATTCATAAAGTCAAAATAACAAAGAGGAAAGCTCATCAAAAAATTGCCTTAGAAATATTTATAGAAAAGGCACAGAAAAGCTACGTTACGGCGGTAGGAAAGCAACTGAAGTCGAGATGTCATGTCAGGACGGATAACATTGCAGATTCTTCTTTGGATTTTATCGAGGATCTCTAAATATATGGCAGAAGCGTCAGACTAGATGTGGCAGCAATATTCAATGAATGAAATTAGATTTATAAATGTGTAAGATAGATTCTGGTGAGAAAAATGATCTAGCACGACATTGAGAACGAACTTTCCTGGAACTAGACTTAGTGAATTGATTCAATATACTCTTTCCACTTCATCTCAGAGGAAAATGTTAGCCCATGAGAGTACAAGGAACCACTCTCCGGAAGGTTAGCATCAGGTAAAAAACGGTTCTCGAAGACGATTAAAAGAGAGTAGTTCCGTTTTGGAGGTGTTAAAATTAACAAGCCACTCCCTGCCCCGGTTAACAACAGTTTGTAGGTCATTTTTGAGATCAGCTGCCAATTTGACCATATTGAATTAATGCCTTACCATTAAGTCAGGACGAAATAAGTAGAGATTTACTTGCCCCCGCCCCCACTGAATCAGGTTGTGACACAAGGTCATTTTTAACGGGGGGGGGACCAGAGTGTTTTCACTCGGGCCGCTGGTCTAAGCTGGTCTTAGCTGGTCATAGATTATCCAAGCTGATCTAAGCTAGTCATAGCTGGTCAAAGCTGGTCAGCCGGTCCATCGCCATGAAAACTACCAGCGTCAGGTACATGGCCCTGTGCTAGGTAAGTAGAGATTTACTTGACCCCCCCCCCTGAAAGGACTAAATAAGTATGTCATCTGCATTGATACTGAGTTGAGAATTGATGACATCAGAAAGGTCGTCGACGAAAATTAAGAACATTGTAGGCTAAAGGATAAATCCAAGGGGGGGGTGGGGCACCTGCCTTAATATAAAAAGATCTGTGGCCACTGAAGACAGCCTTCATTTCGCGATTTGATAAGAAAGATTGAATCAGATCAAAAATTTGCCCAGAAACACCGTAACCTTTCAGTTTGTGAAGAAGACCAGCATAATATGGTGTCACTTAACAATAAATGGTGTACTATGATTTTTCAGCATCAAATTGCCCATGTCGATATATTCTTGGTAACATAGCAACCTCAATATCTCAGTTCATTTTGGTATAACTTGCTTCATTTGGCTAGAATTAGCATGCCGTTTTCTTCAGTGAGGCCTTTCGTCTATCGATGCCAAAAATGTTCCGTTTGTCCGTCGTGTCATAACATATAAATACACACGCACATATACATATGATTAAAACATGTTGTTTGCAATGCTTTAAATGAAATTAGTATGGATGTGCTGGTATCTATCTATCTATCTATCTATCTATCTATCTATCTATCTATCTATCTATCTCTATATATATATTGAGAAATTAGTACGGATGTCCACGGATATCGGTGCGGTATATGAAATCGATGAACCTGGTTTAAATCCTTATGCGTTTACTTTGCAGAAATGGCTTTGACAAAGGCCTTGATTGATCTCTTTTCCTTCCAGCTATGAGTTAAATAGAAGGATAGACTTGGTTTTGTAATCTTGGATGGCAACCAATCTAAGAGAAGGTCATTCTGAATGCAAAACCGTGGAGACGACAACAGAAAAGAAGGCATGGAATTTCACCCCAAGCAAGGCGTGAGTGCCACTAGCACGCAAGAGATTACAGAGAGTGAGAGCAAGACTAAAGAGGGGTGTTTGAGGAAAGGATATAGAGAAAGACAGGGATCAGGATCAAGGCAAGCAGAAGATGTCGATTGACATTAGATTTGAATATTTGAAGATTATAGTTATCAGGGAAGCAAATAAGAGGAAGGGAGTTCCACTGTCGGGAAGTGCGAGAGGAGAAGCTGTTACAGTAGAAGAAACAGTTACATTTAACCATTTCTACAGTGAAAGGGTGGGTCCAAGATGCCAACCTAGTAGCACGCATAAATTCATGCAGTTGGGGTACCAGTGAAAGTAGCTCGTCAGAGTAGTTGCCATGAAAATATTTGTAGAAATGACAGAGGGAAGCCATATCACATCTGTAAGAAAGTGACCGTAGATAAGATGCCAGGTCAGCACCTATCACATTGTATATCCGTCTCTGGATTTTGTCGAGGACCTCGAGATGAACAGCGGGGGCAGCAGACCATATATGGCAGCAGTATTCAATGCAAGGATGAATAATTAATTTGTAGATTTGAAGGATGGACTCATGTGAGAAATACCTTCAGGTACGACACAGAGAACCAATTTTCTTTGCGGTAGATGAAGCTATTGATTCAATGTATTTGTTCCACCTAAGATCAGTTGAAAGTGTGAGACGAAGCAGGCACAGGGAGACGCTCTCATGGAGTTGGGCATCAACCATTCTGTTAGGAGGCAGGGAGGGTTCTCTATGGTGGGTAAATGAGTGTAGTTTCGTTTTGGAGGCATTAAAGTTTACAAACCATTTCCTGTCCCAGTCAACCACAGATTGGAGGTCCTTTTCGTGACTAACGGCCAGGTTAGTTTTGTTAGCAACGCCGGATTTATTATTGAGACTTCAAGATAAAGAAAAATCCGTGTCGAGCCATGATTGCCTACGTTGCGAATGGATATAGCATAATTTTAATGCAACATTTCGTGAGATAATTTTATTTGCAGGCAAATAAGTGATTCATTGGCGTTCCACAATCTTCCTGCATTATTGCTGTAACTGTGACATAAATATTTGTAGAAATGTTAACTCTAACCATAACCAATTATCCTACAACCGTCGGCATAAACAAACGCAACAAAATCCAATAGACGTTTCAAATTAGCTACCTTCCTCGACATGTCTACAAATAGTGTTCTTAATTTGTATAGGACAACTACGAGACCAAAGAAAATGGCCTGAGGTGGGTGTATGAGAGAGAGAGAGAGAGAGAGAGAGAGAGAGAGAGAGAAAAGAAAAGGCGGTGAAAGAAAATAGAACAGTTATGATGGGGGAGAGGAGGAAGAAGGGAGAGAAAGAGCAGCAGTCATGATTTAGAATTTATATTTAAACTCTTTTCCGGAAAAGAAATATTTCAACAATCTGCTCTTGGGAAACTTCATTTTGACAGGTTCCTGTCGGGACAAATGCCGGGCATAAGTTGTTAAATAATAAAAGGTTAATATGTTCAATGCGTGTGCATACAGTCACATAGTCTCTGAAACAGATTTATACAATCACTACGACTCTTCTTTCACACATACACGCTCTCTCGCTTCATTTCTTTCTTTCTTTCTTTCTTTCTTTCTTTCTTTCTCTCTATCTATCTATCTATCTATCTGTAATATGTATGTATGTCTGTATGTATTTACATATACACACTGAGGCATATAGAGCCTTTTTGTATACTTGTACATGCATGAATATATATATATATATATATATATATATATATATATATATATAGAGAGAGAGAGAGAGAGATGTTTTATTGAATAATATAGACATATTGTGTCTCATTATTTTTATACGGATCCTTTCCAGTTGTCTATCCCGAAATGCGATTTGCAGGTCGGGAACACTATTATAAAGAAGGTGCGGAAGTTTAAATATCTGGGAAGTGTTCTGACGGAGGATGACAAGTGCGACAAGTGCGACATTGAAATCCGAAGACGTATTGGAGTGGCCAAAGACGCATTCCGAAACCTAGGCAGAGTATTGCGAGACAGGAGGATCTCTTTGGTAACAAAGAAAAGAGTACTGAGCTGCTACGTGACATCTGTCCTCCTTTACAGCGGTGAATGTTGGACGGTCTCCTCAAAGATGAAGAAGAGACTCGAGGCAACAGAGATATGGTTCTACAAAAGGTTGTTAAGAATATCATGGACCGAGCGTGAGCAACGATGAGGTTTTTAGAGAGGATGCAAACAAGCAGGATGTTTATACTTAACATCAAGAAGATATATATATATATATATATATATATATATATATATATATATATATATATATATATATGTGTGTGTGTGTGTGTCTTCCTTATGTATCTAGATTTAGGAAGCATATCTTCATTCAAACGTGTTTCATTGAATAATATAGACATATTGTGTGTGTCTCTTTTTCTATCTCTCAAATTTTATCTATCTATCTATCTATCTATCTATCTATCTATCTATCTATCTATCTATCTAGATTTAGGTAGCATATCATGTTTCATTGAATAATATAGACATATTGTGTCTATTTTTTTATATTGATCATTTCCTGTTCTTTAATCAATTTGTTAATGTTAAGATGAAATTTCATCTTAACATCAAGTAACTGATTCACCGAGGAACACCGAGGCATATTAGACCCTTTTTTGTATACTTGTACATGCATGAATATATGTATACATATACTTATTCCATTTAATAACATTATATATATATATATATATATATATATATATATATATATATATATATATATATATATATATATATATATATATATATATATATATATATATATATATATATATATATATATATATATAATGTTATTAAATGGATTAAGTCCGACGATTATTTAATATATTTTCTGTTTATACGTTATTTTAATAGATACAATTTATTTTAGTAAATGCTCTGTTTTTTGTTTTTTTTAAATAAACAGTATTAATTACATTTACCGGCCTGAATGTTCGGGAAATTTCGTAGAAAATATGTGCTACTCCGAGAGGAATTGAAGCTAACCAGATGTTTCTTTGTAGCTGAATGGTTAACAGCACATCAGATCGAATGATGGTTCCCATTGGTGTTGCAGGTTCGATTCCTTTTCGGGGAAGCATATATTTTCTACGAAATTTCTCGAACAATTAGGTCGGTAAATGTAATTAATATTGTTCATTTAAAAAATAGAGCATTTACTTAAATAAAATGTATCTATTATTTATGAATATAACGTATAAACAGAATTAATATATATATATATATATATATATATATATATATATATATATATATATATATATATATATATATATATATATATATATATCCTTTCTGTCAATAATCCATAATAATTGCCGTGTTATAGTTAGCAGCTGAGTCGCAATCAGAGAAAATGTCGTCTGACAAATTGAAACCATTGTTATTCATCGATGCAAGTTTCCACGATAAATTCGACGACTTCAGGAGAAGCTCAACAAAAGGCTAAATCTTGTCTGGTCTTTTCTTCATAGAACATGTTTAAATTTGGTATTCCTGTATTCTTTTTTCTTCTATGTACCGTATCTTTTCGCTATATTTCCTAATCCATGTTCTGCCAACCATTTACACAAGATCATTAGGTTGGTAACCTCTATTCCTTTGCCTTTAATATGTCTCGTCAGTGTCAAATTTTCTGAGTCCTCTTTTCTCGTTATGTACCCTAGAAATTTCAGCTGCCTCTTTCTGATATTAAGCGTAAGTGTTTTTTTTGTTTCTATTTCTCTAAAACATTTTTTTATTCTTCTTTTAATTTTAAGTTTCATTCTTCATATAACCCCAAAATTAATGTCGTAAGGTTAATATTCGGGTTTGATTTTTATAAAACTTCTCTTTAAGACAAATACCTTCCATCCTCTCCCCTAATTCCTGTTTCGTGCCTTTCGTCTGACTGAAACTTTCACAGTTAAATTCTATTTCCAGCCCCATTAACGGTATAGACTCGAACTCATTCCACGCCGTGTTTGATAAGACAAACGACCGATATCTTCGTCTGCCGAAGTCGGCTATTCCCATATGAGTTTATTTAGGATTTTATTGTTTATTAATTATATATATATATATATATATATATATATATATATATATATATATATATATATATATATATATATATATATATATATATATATATATATTAATGGACAAAGTCCGACAATTTATTTATTAAAGAGATTTTTATGTTTAACGTTCTTTTCTTTATAGATACAAGTATTTAAGTAAATGCTCTGTTTATAATAAACAGTATTAAATAACATTTACCGGCCTGAATGTCCGAGAAATTTTCATAGAAAATATTCGTCCTTTTTCTATGAAAATTTCTCGGACATTCAGGCCGGTAAATGTTATTTAATACTGTTTATTATAAACAGAGCATTTACTTAAATACTTGTATCTATAAAGAAAAGAACGTTAAACATAAAAATGTCTTTAATAAATATATATATATATTAAAAACGAGAGAGAAGCCACAAACGTTTTTGGTTTTAAAGTGGATTTTTGCAATATATATTATACTTTATTTTCCATATTTTTGCTCCACGAGTTTCGCTCTTTCGACCTTCATCAGTCGAAGAGCGGTTATTTCCGCATATTATTTAAAGGAGTTAATTTTTCCTTATGTTTAACCATTGTCCATTTTGTGTAGTAGTAATCTAAATTTTCTTTTCAAATACGTGTAGCAAAAAAAAAAAAGTAAAATAAAGTATAATATATATTGCAAAAATCCAAAACGTTTACGGCTTCTCTTTTCTCTTTAAAATATACATTTTCATCTTGTTGGAATAGCTATAACCTTCTTCCTTATATATATATATATATATATATATATATATATATATATATATATATATATATAATATATATATATATATGTAGGGCTGGTGTTAAAAAACAGTCCGCGATGTAATACAACAGAGCTATTATGTCTAAATAAATTTACATATAATCCCTCACCGATAGTACGACATTCACCATGCAGTGTTAGTATAATACATACATACATACATACATACATATACATATATATATATATATATATATATATATATATATATATATATATATATATATATATATCCAAATAAAGAGAAAGAACAGTCAGGTTGTGAATGCACAGTTCTTTAGCATTTTTAAATGGTCAATACAACGCAGAATATAATATTATAATATTTTTATTTAAAAATATTTTACATCGCGACACGGAAATTTGTTTTGATATTTAAATCTGTTCCATTTTCAAGCGATATTGGGTAACTTTTGAATATCGCTTGAAAAAGGAACAGGTTTAAGTCCCGAAACATAAATTTCCGTGTCGAATGTAAAATATATTTTAAATAAAATATTATAATATATATATATATATATATATATATATATATATATATATATATATATATATATATAAATATAAATAAAAATATTATATATATATATATATATATATATATATATATATATATATAACGAATACGCAAAATAGCTCAAGGATTCGGAGTTCCTGATAACATTTGGCGTTTCTTCTTGTCATGGTTCTTTCTTTGATTTCGCTTTTTTTCTTTGACTCTTTTTATGTACATTCCGTCTTTTTTTTGACGGTTTTCTGTACCAACCACTTTTTTTGTGTACTTTCTGCCTTATCTGTGACGCTTTTTGTGTACTTGCCGCTTTTTTACGCTTTTTTGTAAACTTTCTGAATTTATTTGACTCTTTTTAGGACACTTTCCACTTTAAGCCATTATCAAAGATTTTTTTTTATTTTTATTTTGTTTGCGACGTTGATTTTAATCGTTATTTTAAAATAACTTTTCTTCCTGAAAAAATGTTTTTGATGCAGTGTTGTTTGTTTTTTATGTTTAATGCATTTGGAGATTTTTTTGTTTACAGTTAATGTCGTATGGTATTTTTATGCTATTGTAAAGGATGTGCCAAATGTCTTGTGTGTTTTTGCTGATTGGCGTTATGCGGTTTAACTGAACTATTATTGTGTACCTTGTTGATCCTTCTGTTGACGTAGTGGGTAAGTCACAAGATGTTTCCACTGAAAATGTTCTGTTAAAGGAACTCTTAAAATACGATTGCTTCAGAAGGTAAATATACTTTTTCAGTAATAGTAATGGCAATATTAATTGTTTCTTTATAAGGAAAAATTCGGCATTTATTAAGCGAGTAGCCAGTACATCTGTCGTTTGAAATTTATAAAATCTTTCTCTTAAGGCATTTTTTTCAGAAAATGGGTTTCTCAAGTTCAGTCGCTATTATTACTCTTTCTATTATTTATGTGTGTTTCCTTTCTAACATTTATTTAAAATTCCTTTTATTCTTCTTTCCAGTATTGATGGGAATTTCCTTCCTAACCTTTTATTTTAATTAGCAGTTATTGTTCTTTCCTTCATTGATGGAATTTTCCTTGCTAACCATTTATTAGAAATAGCTGTTATTATCCTTTCCATTAGGAATTTCATTCCTGAGCTTTATTTGAAATAGCTGTTGTTATTCGTATCAGATTTGATGGGAGATTCCTTCCTAACATTTTATTTAAAATTGCTGTTATTGCACTTTCCAGTATTGATTAAGGTTTCTTTCTTAACATTTATTTGAAATAGCTGTTATTACTTTTTCCAAATTTGAGTTTCCTTACAAACCATTATTTGAAATATATATATATATTACTCTTTCCAGTATTGATGGGAGTTTACTTCTTAAACATTATTTGAAATAGCTCTTATTACTCGTCCCAGTATTGATGAAAGTTTTTTCTTAACCTTTATTTGAATTATCCGTTATTTCTGTTCCCGTTTTTGATGGGAGTTTCCTTCCTAACGTTTATTTGGAATAGCTATTATTTTTCGATTCAATATTGATGGAAGTTTCCTTCATAACCATTATTTGAAATAGCTGTTATTGCTCTTTCCACTATTGCCAGGAGATTCCTTACTTACCTTTATTTTAAATAGCCCTTTTTACTCTTTCCAATATTGATGGGATTTTCCATTCTCACCTTTTATTTTAATTAGCTCTTATTGCTCTTTCATTTATTGGTGGGATTTTCCTTCCTAACCTTTATTTGAAAAAGCTTTCAACACTCTCTCCAGTATTGATGGTAGTTTCCTTCCTAAAATTTATTTGAAATATCTATAATTTCTCGTTCCAGTATTGATGGGAATTTCCTTCCTAACCTTTAGTAATCATTCCAGTAGTGATGGGTGTTTCCTTGTGAACGTTTATTTGAAATAGCTGTTATTAATCATTACAGTATTGATGGGAATTTCCTTTCTAACCTTTGTGTGAATTCACTTTATTTGCTGGTTAAATGTTTGTTGGGATTTTTCTCACTAAACGTTATTTGAAATAGCTTTTATTACTCTTTCCATTATTGATGGGAGTTTCCTTTATAACCTGTATTGGAAATAGCTGTTATTACTCTTTTCATTATTGATGGGACTTTCC